AAGAACGATGAACAGTCACCCGCGGAGCCAATAATGTATCAACACATAATTCAATGCACGCCGAACTAAATTCTTCAAACGTCATCACAGCTTCCGTAGAATGACGCTCAAAGAGGCTTTTTAATTCTTGTACTTGTGATGCAGGAATCACCTCCACTAAGGGCGCTGCCACAAATAGGACATCCTTTGAGCTGAATATAGTGCTACCAGAGCTGTCACGTAATGATACCGATGCCTTGGTAATGGGAGAAAGTATCAGTTTACCTTTATCTTTAGATTCAACAAAATGAACATGTATTGTATCGACAGAAATATCCCACATGGAGGATGGAATAACCACTTCCACCCTATTAGACCCTCGCTGAAAAGCCATTACACGAATCTCATTTACATACACCGCACAACGCCTCATGCCATAAATCAAAACATCGTGTTCAGCCTGGAATTGTCGATTCAACTCTTCTCCAAACAACGTTGATGCCAGTCCCGCAGTGGTTGCAGGTACGGGCCCAGATATACGCCTTCCATTTCCACCGTCGGGAGTGATATTAATCTTGTGAAATTGAAAAATACGTGGAGGGTAGTCCTTACCCAAATCCAGTGAGTCTTCAGAGCGATCATCAACAGTCAGGTTCCAACCCCCAATGATAAAAGACGACGTTTTGTCAATAGGTACCCTGGAGGGAAAAAGAAGACTAATAGCTGGAAGAATCGAGGCATATTTGTTGTCAAGAATAGGATCATCTACCATTGGTGCGCCTACAAACTTACTGTAGTAATCTTCAAAAACCGACCAAACCTTTGCTGTAAATGGTCGATGATGCTCATACTGCACTTCGTCAGAAAATGCCACAACACCCAACATTAGAAGCGCCTCTGCAAAGGAATCAAGTTCTAACGCCGTCACTTTCCCATTGGGGATTTCCAAAGTGGAATATTCCATTAAATTATGAATGCCAAAAAACCCAGGGTAGTCAAAAATAGATCTGGCGCCTATTTGCTGAACAGGCGTAAAGTTTGGAAACACATCGTCCAGCATTTTCTCAAACGCGCCGCGGTAAATTCGACCATCAACAGCGTAAAGATTAAAAATTGGTAGAACAATAGAATGGGCTGATGAAGCCATAACATGTATCACAAGCTGATTGATGTAGGGTGTCCAGCCATTCTTCATGGAGCTCAACGAGATCACCGTCCTCTTTAAAACGAGACATCTACTAATCAGGGGTTTTAAAAAGCGGCGTCCGGTGTAAATCACACTTTCCCTCAAATGTACCTGGTCCTCGGAAGATAAAATGATGGCATCTAAAACAGGACATTTCTCCTCCAAAAGCTCTGAGCAGCGCTGCGTCTGATAGCATCTTACGCATACAACGTTCATAATGGCAAGAAAACCATCAAAGTCAACCGCAAGATCATGAAAGGGGAAATCTCCTTTCGTGGCGTCGCCGTTTTCATTGGGTCTCAGTGGCTTCCCGTGAAAAAGCCAAAGCGATTCAACCAAAAATTGATACACACCCGTTTTGGGGCCAAGAAGACCAGCAGAGCGCAGCAGCGTGAGTAGCCCAGAGTATCGCAAGCGTTGCTGGCGAATGGACTCGCCATGACTGAGAGCGATGTCAAAAAGTAAAAGCCAGTTACACTCCCCGCCTTTGATATCCATCCTGCTGTCGCGTTACTTCTTGGATATAAAATCAAAAAAAAAAAAAAGAGAAAAAGCAATAATTAAACAAGACGCAAAATGAATGAAGCATGTACACACATTCATACATGGATTTCCCTTCCCTTTAATAGAACCTTCCATATAAGAACAGCAAGAAAAATACAATACAATAAACAAAAAAAAAAAAAGTCAGTCCACATGGCTCTCGTCAATGTATATGTATGTATTTTTTGCTGGCGTTTCTTTCTTTTAGAATATAAAATCCTAATTTGTCTTCAGTGGCCATAAAAAGACCAAAGCAAAAGAAAAAAAAATTTGCACATTAAACACATTAAGCCGCCTACCCAACATCCGTAGCAGCCAACAATCACAGCATTTCCCTCGTCATATAAGAAAATCCTCGTTTCTCAATGTTCCTCCAAATGCTTGCAAACAAACGGCCTTCGCTGCTTGCCTGGAGTAAAAAAAAAAAAAAAAAAACGTCCCCTCTCTCTCAAAGGAATTAAAAAAGGAGATAGGGCAAAAATGAACTTCAACAAAAAAAAAACAAGCGGCAACTTCTCTCGTCTCCTAAAGTGCAACTCCCAGACGATCGGAAAGAATCCCAAAGAGACCAAAAGAATATCCGTTAAAGCCGAACAATGGTGTTACATCTTCACAAGAAACTAAAACAACAGCCACAACGATATATATATTTGTGTTTATTTATAGCGCAAAGTACAGAAAACACGCAATGAAAAGATGCGTTATTGTATGATGGGTTCCCTGGTGATGCCTGAGTCGACCTCATCGTGATGCCAAGGTCCATTCCCCCCGTATCGTCAGGGAAAGCCAAAATCCAGCAATGTTACCCTCACGGGGTCGTGGTTGTTGGCAAAGGACTGAGGGCATCGGCCAGCGTCCGGACCAGCTGCGTCTTGCTGGGGCAAAGGTATGATACCAAGAGGTCTGGGGGCACGTGTTGCTGTGCCGTCAGCAGTACCACATCTTGAGTCCAATCATGATTCTTTTAAGAGTTCTACTTTGCCACATTCCGCCCGTTACGCAAAGTTATTTTTGAAGGGAAAGCTGAAAAGAAATATTAACTTCAACTTCTTTTCCATTTTCTTTTTTTTTTTTTTTTCCTTTGAGTCTTCAATTTTATTGTTGTTGTTTTTTTCTTGCTGTGCACGCATCATGTAAAATTTTTCTCGCAATACCACCGCAAACTGTATAAAAATGAAGGGCCGCATACATGAGGCAACTCAAAGCCCCACATTTCCTCCACACCATTGGAGTCGCTTTCTTTGGCTCACCATCTCAAAATTACAAAAAAAAACGTTCCATCAAGTGCTTACAAAAACCAATTCCTCATGACCACCTTTGGAGAAATGGATTTCGAAGTTCGCCTAAGGATGCTGCACTATCTTCCTTTGCCTTCTCGGCCGCAACAGAATTTTCAGCAACCAATAAACTATGGCAAAGATCACTCGATGGTCCACTAGGTGACGGGCCATTCTGATTTAACCAGACTGGTTGCGGCGGCCTGAAAGGGACAGGTCCCGTAACTCCATGCTGCTTTGGCGTTCCCCCAACTTGCAACGCACTTTCCTCCCCTGGATCTGGCAAAAATGGTCTAACAAAAGGTTGTTTCGGTGGAGCAGGAAAAGAAGTCTTGACTTCACTTTTGACGACTGGTGGGCGGCGCACAAGTCCTGGGGCAGTGTTTCTGTTCGCCCCTTGGGATAGCACACTGTTGAGGGGCAATCCATTTTCAGGCTTTTCACTGCCAATGCTGCAATGGCTCCCGCGCTGATCCTCCTTCTCCCCATTTTTGCCATGAAATTTTATTTTATCCTCCTCCCTCTTCCATTTTGGAGCCTCCCGCATCCTATTGATCACACTTGCCAAGACTATAAGAAGCAGGGCTCCAACCCAATTCCATACTCCCCAAATTTCAGCGGGAATCGCCTCCTCTTCACCGTGCGGTTGACTCCCAAAAAACGGTCTACTACCCTCTTGCCCATTTTTGTTGCTCTTCCTTTCGGATCCGCGAGGCGGCTCGTCTTCAATATCCGAGTTCTTGCCCAGAGTGTTGACGGCAACAGCCAATCTTGACGTGGCAGCATGAAGATCTGAAAGGGCTTCATGGCAGCTGGTGGATATCGTCCCTGCCAAAAAACAGAATTTGTTGATTTCTTCCGTGGCTGCATTCACGGAACTTTCCAACTCATCTGTCTGAAAAACCAAGATCCTCAGAAACTCTAGTCCCTTGTTTCCCCTGGAATTATACCTTTTCAGCGAATTTTGCGTGTCCTTCTCTGATTGATGCCTCTTCTCCGCTTCTTCCTCCGCTTGGCGCCTCTTCGCCGCTTCCTCCTCCGCTTGGCGCCTCTTCGTCGCTTCTTCCTCCGCTTGATGCCTCTTCGTCGCTTCTTCCTCCGCGTGATGCCTCTTCTCCGCTTCCTCCTCCGCTTGGCGCCTCTTCGTCGCTTCTTCCTCCGCGTGATGCCTCTTCTCCGCTTCCTCCTCCGCTTGGCGCCTCTTCGTCGCTTCTTCCTCCGCGTGATGCCTCTTCTCCGCTTCCTCCTCCGCTTGGCGCCTCTTCGTCGCTTCTTCCTCCGCGTGATGCCTCTTCTCCGCTTCCTCCTCCGCTTGGCGCCTCTTCGTCGCTTCCTCCTCCGCGTGATGCCTCTTCTCCGCTTCCTCCTCCGCTTGGCGCCTCTTCGTCGCTTCTTCCTCCGCGTGATGCCTCTTCTCCGCTTCCTCCTCCGCTTGGCGCCTCTTCGTCGCTTCTTCCTCCGCTTGATGCCTCTTCGTCGCTTCTTCCTCCGCGTGATGCCTCTTCTCCGCTTCCTCCTCCGCTTGGCGCCTCTTCTCCGCTTCCTCCTCCGCTTGGCGCCTCTTCTCCGCTTCCTCCTCCGCTTGGCGCCTCTTCGTCGCTTCCTCCTCCGCTTGGCGCCTCTTCTCCGCTTCCTCCTCCGCTTGATGCCTCTTCTCCGCTTCCTCCTCCGCTTGATGCCTCTTCTCCGCTTCCTCCTCCGCTTGATGCCTCTTCTCCGCTTCCTCCTCCGCTTGGCGCCTCTTCGTCGCTTCCTCCTCCGCTTGGCGCCTCTTCTCCGCTTCCTCCTCCGCTTGGCGCCTCTTCTCCGCTTCTTCCTCCGCTTGGCGCCTCTTCTCCGCTTCCTCCTCCGCTTGGCGCCTCTTCTCCGCTTCCTCCTCCGCTTGATGCCTCTTCTCCGCTTCCTCCTCCGCTTGGCGCCTCTTCGTCGCTTCCTCCTCCGCTTGGCGCCTCTTCTCCGCTTCCTCCTCCGCGTGATGCCTCTTCTCCGCTTCCTCCTCCGCTTGGCGCCTCTTCGTCGCTTCCTCCTCCGCTTGATGCCTCTTCTCCGCTTCCTCCTCCGCTTGATGCCTCTTCGCCGCTTCCTCCTCCGCTTGATGCCTCTTCTCCTCTTCCTCCTCCGCTTGATGCCTCTTCGTCGCTTCTTCCTCCGCTTGATGCCTCTTCGTCGCTTCCTCCTCCGCTTGATGCCTCTTCGTCGCTTCCTCCTCCGCTTGATGCCTCTTCGTCGCTTCCTCCTCCGCTTGATGCCTCTTCGCCGCTTCCTCCTTTGCTTCAGCTTCTGTTACGTGGCCTTCAGTCAGTTTTCGGAGACGAGCAAATTCCCCTTTTAGACGCCCAGTCTCTCCGTTGTTATCCGGTCCCCCATTCTCTTCATGCAGCATACGAGCCCCTCCTTCAGTTGGTTTTATCACCGCCGATGGTGAATGCCAAACCCCCTCAGTATCCTCTACTGAAGACGCATTTGTCAAAACAGCCAAGAAAAGTACACATAGAGAGTATAAAATATACAAGCACCATGGTCTGCCAAACATAGCATGATAACGCATCGTTATTTGTGAAGACCCCTTTTCGCTTTTTTTTTTTTTTTTTTGCTTTTTCTTTCTCACAAAAAAAGTTGTTGTTGTTGTTTTTTTGCCATATGCAAAAAAATGGGTCAGAACAATCAATGTAATGCTTACCAGAACAATGGATCAGGCGATTCAGACCAAATATTCCAAAAAAGGAAACTAATCAATAGCAAACCAAGGCACGGCTAAAGAAAATAATCTTGCAGCGTAGGAAAAGCAGAATACGATCTCATCAATAGTAAATAGGGGAAAAAAAAATATTAAAAATAATCGCACAGAAAAAAATTGGTCAATGTTGAAAAAAAAAAAAAAAAAAAAAAAAACGGGATGCCTCCAAAGAAGCTACAACTTTATGGGCACGGAAAACTCCATGGTGTCACCAGGGATGCAGCCTATCCTCGGAGGCTCTGTACCAACCGTGTCAACACCAGTGCCAATGCGCATCGACGTGCCTCCAATACGTTCCGGTTTCACTGGAGGACGGTCCTTCAAAGATTTTGGTATCGCGGGAGGCTCATCATATCCGACCTCCTCAAGCGAACGACACGGGCCATTTGATATTACCGCAAGAGGATCGCACGAGCCGGATTTTGGATGGGGTACAATAATTTCAACGATCTCAAGCGGTTTCGCCTCCTTGACTGGCTCTGGGAAAAGATAATCAAGCCTGTTAGGTCGACCAGTCGCAACAGTTTCTTCTGCCTCTTCAAGAATCGACTCAGTAGATTTGATTGGAGGAGGACGTAAACGCAGTTCTTCATCAGCCCTTGCTTTTGCAATAACAATATCTTCAGGTTTGCTCTTTAACAGGACAACCACATGCTTCAGTCCTCTCTCTGAGGCAACATACAGAGGGTTTTTGCCGTCAATGTCACATACATTTTGGTCGGCACCGGCCCTCAGAAGTTGATACACGGCATCGTGAAGACCGGCTTTTGCTGCCATATACAGAGGAGTTTCATTTCGGACATTCTTGGCATTCAGATTTGCACCACTTCTCAAAAGAATGTCAATGATGGCACAATTGCCCGTGCGAGCAGCCACGTGGAGAGCTGTTTCATCATTATTTCCATTTTTTGCGTCCACATTGGCACCATACTCAAGGAGTAACAGCACAACATCAATTTTGCCATTGAAGCACGCAATATAGAGCGGAGTTTCACGATCCGGGCCCTTCAAATCAACTTCGGCACCAAGACTCAACAATTTCTTGACAGTGGGGCAGCCCACCTCCCTCTTCATTGATGCATAATATAGCGGGGTGTACCCATTGGAATTCAGTGAATTCACATTCGTCGGTGAAAACACCTGCTGCATCGCGGCAAGGTCCTGTCGCTCAATAGAATCGAATAAACTCATGTTCATCGACACGGCTCTAACATCGGAGAAGGGAAAAAAAAAAGAGGAAGGAAAAAAAGATGTTGGTGTTTTTTTTTCTTTTTTTCATTTATCCAAGGCAGCAATCGCCGAAAATGAAAGCCAAAAATAAAACAAAACAAAACAAAGATGCTTTTATTTTTATTCACTTATTTACTTATGTTGGCATTCCTATGGGAATCAACAGACAATGAGACAACATCATTTACTCGGAAAGTTCTATTGGTCAGCCAAACCAGAGCCTAACAAGAACAACAACAACAAACTCGTCATAAATAGTTCAAATTTCTCCTTCCACAAAGCAGTATTCCAATGCATATGCCTCCGTATTACAATTTCCGCTGCAGGTAAATACAAGAACATTCCCAAAGTGTAGGGGGTGTTTCTTCTCGTTTGACTTCGTCAAAAAATAAATAATGGGCGACGTAAGCTGGAGCTCGTACCGGCGTTTTTTCCCGCAATAAGGGCATCGTGGCGCAACAATTGAAATTACGGATAATTGCAATGGCTCCCGGCTAGGGCCCCATCGCACACACTGTGAAGGAACCCTGCCGATTCTTTCCACGTATTTTCGCAAAAGTTTTTCATGCAACGGCTCATCAGCCTCATCCAAAACTGTCGTCTCAACGACATCTTCGCCGTATTTTCCCTGTGCCTCATGCAACTGGATATTGAAGGGGGCAGACTTTGGTTTCACTTTGGGAGGCTCCTCAAACACTTCAAGCGTAAAGCATGGAAAACGCATACCCCTGATAGGTGGCTGTGATCCGGGAGGGGCGAGTGAGGAAGGCACTTCGGTACTGCAAATGTCATCAGCAATCGCTTCATTTACAGTGCTTCTGTTCCCACGTTGTTCCGTAGCCGTGTTTGATTTAACGCTCTTATAATCATAATCCCATCCCTTATCCATCCCATCTCCCCAGTCCGCGCTTTCTTCGAAAAGAAGTCGTTTGTCCTCGCAGCCCCCCTTGTCGTTTGTCTGCGATACATTTTTGTAAGAAGGATTAAAATTCTGAGATCGAAGAGCAAAACAAAAAGTGCTCTGCTCAGTACTGCACGTGGAGCAAGTGAGTACGTACAGCAAACGGTCGTAGACGTCCAGAGGAGCGTAAATCTGAGCCAATAACGACACTGTGTTCATGCTATTACACTTGGGGCAACGAAACACACTATAATCTGCCGTCTCTCGAAACAAGGTAGCTGTTCCACCAATTCTTGAGGTATAAACAGAACATAGATCTTCACCAGTAACATCTACTGGCTTCCCAAGCCAAACAGCATCTTTCATAGCCATCCTACCATTCCTATTTCGAAACACACACGCACAACAACAACAAAAGCTAACGGATAAAAGAGGTTAAATTAAAATAATTGTTCACTTCAGCTTTTTATTTTTGTGTAGTTTTTGTGTGTACATATTATATGATATTGTAAGGAGTGTTGTATTCAGCAGTCAAAAAGAGGTTCAAAAAACGTCACTGTCGGTTGGGAAAACAATCGTAAAAACGCTCAGTCTCACTAGAGTTCATTGAAACAACTCGGTTAATGACCGAGTTAGCCAATCGCCTCCATATGCCTCCTTCAGATAATACGGGGCATTATGAGGGCAGTGACTCACCACATCAGCCACTGTACACCTTTGAAGGGGAAAGAGCTCCTTTTCAGGTGAAGATCCATCAACAGAAATCACGACACCATCATTAACAATCGTCTCGTGAAATTCCGCGCAAATTCTTTTCGTGCATTTTCGGAAAACTCTTACGGAATTTTGCAGACTCACCCGAACTGTTGATACAACACCAAAACAGCGAGAATCGAGTTCATTCATCATTGCCACAACTTTATCCGTGTCATCTGACCTCTTAAAGCCAATGTCAAGATCCGCATCCCAAAGCACTAGCCTTCCAAGTCTCGTAGATCCCAGAAGAGTGCCGTTTTGTAACCAAAAAACAATTTTATTTTCTTCAAGAAATCGCATAGAACATGTTAAAGCATTACGAAACGCTGCCTCCCTGTCGTAGTAGACGTGAAAACAATATGTCACCGCCACGTACACAACAATTCCCAGAAGCACCACCACGATCGCACGTGTCCAATACAACCCGAGGGTTTCGCCACTTTTGGGATATCCTTTAATCATGATGGGCTCAACTTTTTGGTTTCCTTTCTTCTTAAGAAAAAATTTAATGGAAATCGTTTAGATATCGTCAAGCCGTAGAATAACCCTGCAGAGTAAGGAAAAGAGAAACAGGGGAAAAAGATTGGCCTACTAGCAGAAAAGATATATACACGTAAGTAGTCAAAGCTGACAAACCCATTTTTTAAAAAGGCATCTCCTTTCCCATTCTTTCCAAAATTGTGAAGGGAATAATAATAATATGTTCAATGCAAATTGTACAGGTGATTCTCCTTCCCAATTGACACCCCCGCAAAGCATTATTTTTTAGCCAAACCTGGATATTGGGCAAGCAACAGCATCTCTTTCCGTTTTTTCTCCCGCGCACGTGCAGACGCCAGTTCGCTCTCCAATCTTGCTATTTTCAAGCGAAGCCGCTTGCAGTGACCACACTCAAAGCTTCCATTCAGTACCCGTGACAATGGAACAAGAACATCGTTCAATGAAGAGTCAGTCTCTTCTTGAATTACACGTCTGTCAATAAATCCTAAGCTTTGCTTAATTGTCATGCTATGCGAACAAGGTGGGCCGTGTAAAAACTGCACTGAAAGGAAGAAGAAAAATACAAAAAAAAAAAATAAAATAAAAAGAATATAATAAAACCCCCGTGCTTGCCCCAATATTATAGTTCGACAACAACAAGCTGCAGCAATAATTGATTTCATTTACTTTTAATTTTTATTAGAAAAAAACGGCGCGAGACTTATGAATGGAGCAATTGTAGCAAAACGGATAGAATTTCGCTCGCATAGACGACGGAATGTTCCTCTGAAGGCCGAGCTAGACACATATTTTTTAACTCCGATAAAAATATTTTCAACGCAGATCCACAACCAGGGACTTGGAACAAATAATGAGCCATTGCTACTGCCAACATGCGCAGTTTAGAAAGTTCGGGAGGGAAAAGCAGAACCACAGTAATAAGAGAAGAAACATTTTCATCTATTACACCAAGAAAAGTGTTCAGTATAGCACAATCCAGCCACCACCAGCACCGGCCATCTAATGAAAAACCGTCTTTTCCAAGACACGCCTCAAACAAAAGCCGCGTCGTGTACTCAGCTACAGACCAACGGGCGATCACCTCAGTGTTTTCCCTTACGATTCGCTTTGAGATTGCCTGTAGTTCATACAAGAGCAATCGCTTGAAAATCAACGTAAAATCAAACTTGTTAATTGTAATAAACAAGATGTCCTCTTTTTCCAGAACATGTGCAATGAGTTCATGGACTACGGCAATTGCGATATCACCGTTGTTTGAAGAATTACCGCGAAGGGAATCCAAAAATGCGATTACCTGTATGCGATTGTAATCCAATTCCCCCGACTCAAATTCATTATATGAACCACGAAAAACTAATAACGCTGCAGTCACAAGGTGAAGCAGTTTATTCCTATTCGTTTTAATTCTTTTAGAAAACGCTGA